AGGGCAAGGGCCAAGGGGGCTGCCCATAATCCCCCTAAAGCCGCTTAAGGAACGCGGTTCCTCCAAGGATACAGCCCAGGGAGGTGGGTTGGGGCTGCTTGTGGGGGGACCCAAGCCTCCTCCATGGGGTGTAAGGGATGGGGTCCTCAGCTGGGTACCCCCCAGCACAGGATCATGGGATGGTTTGGGTTGGAAAGGACCTTAAAGACCATCTCATTCCAAACCCTCTCCATGGGCAGGGACACCTCCCACCAGCCCAGGTTGCTCCAAGCCCCCTCCAACCTGCCCTTGAACCCCTCCAGGGATGGGGCAGCCACGGCTTCTCTGGGGCAACCTGTTCCAGGCTCTCACCACCCTCAGGGGGAAGAATTTCCTCCCCAAATCTCAGCTCCATCTCCTAATTTGTGGTTGAAAACTGTTCCTTCTCCTCCTAGGGCTCCCCTCCCTCATCCAGAGTCCCTCCCCATCTCTCCTGGAGCCCCTTGAGGGACTGGAAGGGGCTCTGAGGTCTCCCCAGAGCCTTCTCTTCTCCAGGCTGAACCCCCCCAACTCTCTCAGGCCCCCCTCCCAGCAGAGGGGCTCCAGCCCTCCCAGCATCTCTGTGGCCTCCATGTCCTTCTGATGTTGGTGGCCCCAGAGCTGGAGGCAGCACTTGGGGGGGTCTCCCCAGAGCAGAGCAGAGGGGCAGAATCCCCCCCCCACCTCTCCCTGCTGGGGATGCAGCCCAGGGTGCTGGGGGGGGGCTTTCTGGGTTGTGACCCCACATTTCTGGGGTGTGTGGAGCTTCTCATCCACCAACACCCCCAGGTCCTTTTCCTGGGGGCTGCTCTCCAGCCATTTTCTCCACCCAGTTTGGGATTTGTGCTGGGAATTGCCCCCACCCAGGGGCAAGACCTTGCACTTGACCTTGGATCAGAGCCTGAGCATCATTCCCAGGATGGGGGGGGCAGCGGGGAGGGCTTTTTTACCCATTTTGGGGAAACTGAGGCACGAGCAGCGATGCCTTCAAAAGGCAGAGCCGGGCAGGGAACCCCTTCCTGGCATCCCCCCCCCCCTATTTTGGCAAGAATCCCCCGGGGGGAGGGAAACCTAAGGAGGGGATCAAAGCTACCCAGGGTAGGGTGGGGGGGTGATGCTCCCTGTGTCCCCCCCCCGCTTCTGGGGGCCGAGGCAGCCCCTTGCCATGCCAAGGCTGATGCCAGCTGTGTCAGCTCGGGGGGCCGTGCCAGGCTGCAGTCAGCAAAGCCCTAATCTCCCCGCCTGGGCTGGCACCTCCCCAGCCTGGCAATTAACGGGGCTGACCTCAGCTCGCCCTGCCGTGGCCACCAGCCC